CGTCTTTTTGTATGACGCGGCCCGGGATCGAACCCTGGACCTTCCGCTCTCCGGGCGGACGCTCTACCACAAGACCACGGAGGCGGTCTTCATGTTTTGATAATTACAAGTTTCATGCGGCATTGATACCCATGTAATGTACGTAAATTATATGTTAGGTATGTAATATACATGACATATTTACAAAATATATAAGCTGAGAAACTATTTCCAAAACCAGAAGTAATATCTGCTGAAATCATTGTACGATGACGACGGAAACAGATCGTAAGTCAAAAGAGGGAATTTAATCGGACATCATGTTGGACACTGATGTGTTAAATTTGGAAATGTCCTTAACATATCTACCACAAACTATTTGAAAGCTTTACTAAGATCTGTGAATGTGTGTAACCCTGATCAAACAAGAGATGGGCAAGAGTCCTACGACGTTATTTGAAATCTTGGTACAAAGAGCATGCTCCATTACACCTCAAAATGTGTGTAATGTTGACGTCAAAGGTTGTCTGGAGTATTGCTCGATATAAACGGATGTTGACTCTGGGAAAGTTGCAGTCATCCCGTTGTCATCACTCTTGTCATCCCTCTTGTCATACAACCTGGATAGGTTGTTGTTTCTTATGATTATGGAAATGATTTTGTCGTTTCTATTTATTAAACGAAATAGCATAAGTACTTTATATTTTTTGAAAAAAAAGTACAAAACACTTTCCATATTCAAAAGAAATCTCTTTCAAAAGCAGATTGTACGAAAATGGGTTTATAAATCTCTCTCAAATAGTAATGATACCAGGTGTACCATCGGTGGCACCGTCAGAAACACATGCAAAGGCAAGACAATTGTTCACCTGAAAAACAAGGGAACTTATAGTACAATAGCAAACAGCATCGGACATAATCTTTTGTCACTGATGCGTCAAATTTGGAAGTGTCCTCCACATATCTACCATAACACCTTTTGAAAGCTTTACTGCAGCTGAGGTCTTGAATGTTGTAACCTTGATCAAACAAGGAATGTTTGCTGTATATGTCAATATTAAAAGACAGTTGCACGTACAATCATTACATGTTTAATGACATATATTCCTTACATTTCACTTGTTTTGTCCTTGGGGCGGTCGGGTAGCCTAGTGGTTAAAGCGTTCGCTCGTCACGCCGAAGACCCGGGTTCGATTCCCGACATGGGTAAAATGTGTGAAACCCATTTCTGGTGTCCCCCGCCGTGATATTGCTGGAATATTGTTAAAGCGGCGTAAAACCATACTCACTCACTATTTTGTCCTTACCTTTCTGTACGGTTCCACAAACTCCTATCGCATTGTAGTCAAGCTAGCTGTGTTATATATGCATTATTTGACAAGTCAGCGTTCAATTCTTTACCCATGCTGAAACATTGACATCCTGAACCTTTGACAAAACATTCAAGCTTTCTATTCAAACAGACTAATAAGTCTGACCTACTAATCTCTCAGGTTGCACTTCGCCAATTAAAGTCAACTCCACGGTTAATAAAATCTCAAATTCTCACGTTCGCGGTAAAGCTGCAAATATGCCTAGCGTATTTTTGACATCAGACCTGGTAATTGGTGACCTCGAATTTAACCTGGGTAGGGGTTACATTGACAGTTGTCGTCAAGAAACTTGCATATTTCAGGAGGACCCGCGAACCCATGCGCAAATACAAGGTTGAACTTTCTCCTCTTTTTTACATCGTTTTAAATGAATGAACTGTATTGCCAGTTAGACAAGAAGAACATCACACAGCCGAGACAGTTTGCTCCCGGGGTGAGGTAGAAAGAGTCTACTTGTGTTCTATGATAACGTTAGCTTATTTTTACAGAGCTAATGTTTATATATGGGAACATTGCGGCAGAATTCGTGAAAATATGCTGGGGAAGGTATTTGATTCTTTGAGAAAGGTGTGGAACAATAATATATTTAAACGTTATGGTGGCGTGTATGTGTTCAAGTATTAAGTACTTTTTTATGATGAAGATGCTTAAGAGGTACAACAATGGACGATGTAATAAGGAGATTGGGAACACCGATTGTTTTGGTGTTACATGAATAATTTGTTTGTTTGGGTTGTTCTTTCTCAACGGAAGATAGCATTAACAGAGGTCATCATTTAATGTCAATTTATGATTAGATCATATTTTGTAAGATATTAAACATGAAATAAAAAAATCTATATGATGTTGTACGCGAAAAGTGAACATCATTTTTATGTGGCTTTTATTATTGTTTCCCAGAGAAGACCCCCTGATTGGCTTCACCCTTTAAACCGATTTGATTGATTTAAATAGGGTGTTCGGTGTGACGAGCAACGCTTGAACCACTGTGCTACCTATAACCATATAAGTTGTACGTGGAAACGTATACGTATTTAATTCAGGAAAACTACCAACTGTAGCCAAGGGTGATTAAGTCGTAAAGCACTGAACAGAGTTTAGTTTCTTAGGCGTGCCAGGATCCAAAGACCCCGTGGGTTCGAATCCCGATATTATGATTTTTGGTTATCCAACATCGTTCCCGTGTTCGCGAGTTTCGCAAGAGTGGTAAAGGACAACAGACTGTTTTGTTTTTTACCAAGACGTGATATTGCAGAAATACTGGAGGGGTGTCTCTAAATGTAATTGTGTAAAATAACACGTCAGTGCCTTAGGGGTATTAATTTCCGTTTCTCATGAAACGTACATGGTATCTCCTCACGTCAAACGGTAAATTTAAAATGTCAATGCCAGAGAATAACCAGTCTTGATTATCCACCGAACCAGATTCCAATGGGCGTTAAAGGCAAAATATCTATGAAAATTGTATAAATGAGATCAGTGATGACACCGGGGGTTCGTGAAAGCGTAACCATGCCTTGCCCCACGGGTAGAACCCGTCACCCACCCCGACTAATCCGAACTCTACCGAGAAATGATAGGTTCTACAATGTTCCTGATCAACGGATCACGTGTACGTGACCATTTGTGTGTACAGTTGAACATCGAAATCTGAAGTCTGAAGCATAATCATCTTTTTCAAAAATCTATGGGGACAAAATAATTTTTTCGATAAAATTCAAGCCACCCCTCCCAACAAAAAAATGTCGGTTACTAATTAGTCTGTTGTTTGTTATTAGCATTGTGCAAGAAGTGCGCATTTTGTATTGCAATAACAAGTTGTTTATGCTCAGTTTTATGGCGATTGTACAAGTGTCCTGTCCACTTTAAACTTCCACTGCCGGAATACCTACATGATTTATGGGGGATTTTAATATACTCTTACCTACTCGGCAGGGTCGTTATTGATTTCATTTCCGACTTTGTCACTGAGTGTGTCGGGTAGGCGAAGAAATGACGTGTGTTGTTTTGCACTGTTCAACCCATTCTGAATAACCCCGTAAAATTCAAACCAACATGAACTTTACCTGAGCCTGTATTTGAGTTACATCACGGCGTGTCAGCTTAATGTTGGAGGAAAGCCCGTGATGCAGGTATTATCTGTTTGTATGTAGAGAGCAACCACATTCATCATTACATCATGGTCTACACATCACCTGAATAATGCTGATGCGACTCATATAACACACTCGCCCACTAGGTCCGCCTCCGTGGTCAGCGGGGTGGATGTTCTTCCCGGAAAATGGAATGTCGACGGTTTGATTCCCGGCCGCGTCATACCAAATGACGTTAAAAGATGGTACTTGTTGTTGCCCTACCTGGCGCTCGCCATTAATGGGCTTAAACAAGGACTGGTCGGCTCGGAGTCTGTATATTGGGGTATTCATGTTAAGCTGCGGCATGGTATCTCAGTGGGGGCGGTGGGGTAGCCTAGTGGTCAAAGCGTTCGCTCGTCACGCCGAAGGCCCGGGTTCGATTCCCCAGATGGGTACAATGTGTGAAGTCCATTTCTGGTGTCCCCAGCCGTGGTATTGCTGGAATATTGCTAAAAGCGGCGTAAAACAATACTCACTCACTCACTGGTATCTCAGTGGGCTAGCACTATAAAATTGGTATAAACCAGGTCAACTACAATCACTCATAAGCACATGAGTGAAATATTATTGACGCTAACCCTCTCTGTCTCTCTCTCTCTCTCTCTGTCTCTCTCTCTCCAAACAAAATACTTGCGCTTGACTTTTATCATCGGTATTCCGTTCATGAGAATACTGGGCCAACATCAAATAGTCCGCCAATTAGTAAACACGCACCACAGATAAAGACACAGACAAACAAAACACTTCAAAGTATGTAGGCCTGCAAGAAATAAGAAAGCACATTTGTTAAAAAAAACAGGAGCAAATTTTCAATAAAACTGAGAGTGTTGACAGAGGTCTTCAAGTGTTTCTCTTCCCCGTCTTGACACCCTTTAGTAGAGAGAAATACCCTCTTAATTTTCGCTCCACGTCTCAAAGTCGAATAGAGAAACTAAAGGGTCAGCTTTGTCCGCCACCCTGTGTCAATACTGGCAACAGGTAGAGCCATTTAAATCCACAGGCACCATGCTCGTAGAACACCGCTTTAACGTCGGGGTGTCGCGTGGCTTAGTTTTGTTATAACTTGGGAAGGAGACCGCAGGGTTCTTACATCAAGATTATGCCCTGCTTCATTTTTTAAATGGGTGTTTGATATGTAAACATGTGTATTTCTGATACAACTGTTGAAGGTCGCTTAAAACGAGGATCTATGGTTTTTATGAACAAGCTAAAATTTGTCTGCCTGTGTTTGACTCGGATTATGTCCAGTTTGTTGACAGATTTGCGCCTTTCTTGCGAAAGATCCATCCAGAAGTGGGATGGCTTATTTCGTCACGTGACGTCACAATCGTCGTGAAATGGGAATTGTATCCGGCTATCCGACTATATAAGACATGGGTTATTCGCCATGGAGTAATCTGTTCAGAAGGCGGTAACTTCAACAAGTCTCTCCCAAATCGGACTTTAGCGAAACGAACTTTCGCCAACGGAGCATACTTATAAGCGATTTACAATTACGGATTTTTAATTCCAGACATTACTTATCAAGAATGATGCAGACGTTGTTACTGCTGCTGTCGATAGCGACGATTGCATGGACACAGGAACAGTTTGCGCCATACTGCCGGACCCCTTTCCAGTGGATTCGACACCCGACTGACTGTGCCCGGTTCTGGCGGTGCGTGTGGAGTCGGCCGGTGGAGATGCCACCTTGTCACGCCGGCACCATCCTCTCCGCCAAACTCAACGTCTGCGTCTACATCGGCAGCATTTGGGACGACTGCGGCAGTAGTGAGTACAACACCCTTCTGTCACACGTACAGTGGCAATAATGATGATGATGATGATGATGATGATGATGATGATGATGATGGTGGTGGTGGTAGTGGTGGTGGTGGTGGTGATGATGATGATGATGATGATGATGATGATGATGATGATGATGATGATATGCCACACTAAGTGGACATAACGGATCAGTGCATCCACATTAATTATCAGCTTGCTAGGGTCAGTCCACTGATATTTTACAACATGCATTGTATTTTGTAAGTTCTTCCACCAAACGTTAATTGTGGATTTCGAACACTGATATAGCAAGAGCTATAAATATAGAGCAGATAAATACTTTGATCCACAAATACAAACATGAACATATCCACGTGTGACTTAGTACTAAAACTTTCGAAAACTTGATAATATCGAAGTTTCTACTGTAACGTCAATATTGCTTAACTTAGATATGCTAAATTATCACTGAACTAAATCGTTCACATTGACTTGATCACTGGAATTTAGATGCATATCCTTTGACAGATGATTGAACGATGGACATATACATTGCACATACACTAAAACTACAGACGTCAGAATTATCACTCAACTGCAGACGTAGACATTAAATAATCATTGAACAATATAAACAAATTGAATTATCACTCACTCACTCACTCACTCGCAGGCGTTTAGTTATCACGTAATTATAGACGTAGACATTGAATTATCACTATCAATGTGGACAAACGTTCGAAAGAACATTTACGGTATATTTAGAAACTCCAAGTAAAGAATGAGAACGTTTTTTTCACAAATAAAAAGAAAAGATAAACACCATGACACGTTGACCTGTATGTTAACGACAGTGAAAATAGTTATATTAATAATTATTACTATAGATGCTTTGGGGCATTTGACACAATCATGAAAAAGGAAACAGTATGGATAAATCTTTGCAGGTGTTCTTTTTTCACAATTGTATGCAGACGCATATGTTATGAATCTAAAAGTCTACACTCGTCTCCAATATATGACTACATACACTCTGTGTCCCACCGTTTAGCGCCGACAGGACGAAATCGTTAAATTACATGACAATAGGAAAATGTACAACTTACGTTATATGATACAATCCGGAAAAAACGTAAACAATGTGGCGGTTAGAATGTGCACAATCCCTGGTGTCATTGTCGGCTCGCAAATATTGGCAAAACCCATACGCCCGTGTCAACCCTGTCCAAACACGCACCACGTGTCCCAGTGTGACATATATACGGGGGGCAGTTTATTTCATTAAATTTCCCGAGATATTTGCCAATTTGCCTGGGCTCACTGAGAGTAATCGTTTGTTTTAAGATTTGGTCTTCTTTTTGATATACCATTTATTTAAGCTGTGCATTAAATTTACCATTTAGTTACCATTGTGTTTTATTATTTCCTTATCATTTGTTTTACCATTTGTTTTACTATTTGTTTGGTTTAACTATTTGTTCCAATATACTTGTGTTATACTAGTATAATAGTTATACCAGTTGTGTTACTATTTGAGAAATCCTAATTTACCATTCGATTCTATTTGGGTGTTGTTTTTTTAAAACAGTTGAATTTATTAGAGTTCAAATTTAGATAATATTGGTAAGTGCGGTCACCAATATCGATTTCCAGATTTTGTTTATATATTGATAGGAACAAATAGGGGAACGGATATATAGGAAAGTCTGTATCACCATAGAAACCAGAAATCTGGAGAAAAGGTGATGATATTGGTGACATATTTTGTTGATATGGACATATCATTAGTAAACAGAATTCTTCTAGCTTTCTATGTTCCCTCATTTGTTTCCATCAGTATATACAGTGAAACCCTTTTTAGTCAAGTCCACGGAACATCTAGATTATGTCGAATTATCCGTACTTCGATACAAGCGAAATGTAGATATCGACATGTCGATGACAGTACCAATAAATGCTCTGTTGTGACCTCAACGTTACACGTTAAACGATATATCGAGATAACAAAGTTCAAGATAACGAGGGGGCACGGGTGGCCCAGTCGTCTAAGGCGCCGCGATTCGCTGTGCAGAGTTCCGTCCCTTGGCTACGTCAGAAACCTATGATTGTGGGTTCGAATCCTGGTTCGCCCCGGTTACGTTTCTAAGTTTGTCAGCACCATACCCGTGCTCGTGGGTTTCACCAAAGTGGTAAACGTCTGAGACCTGCATCACTTCGGGCTTTCCTCCCACATTAAGCTGACACGCCGTGATATAACTGGAATACTGTTAAAAGCGGCGATAAACCCAACTGACTCACTCAAGATAACGAGGTTCCCATGACTCTCACTATGAAAGGACAATGACTCTAATCACTGCATCCCACCTCAGGTACACCAACGGTCGGCGTGACGGAGACGCCCGCACCACCCCCGCTTACCCCCGAGGACCGCTGTGCCCGAGGGGAGACGGTCTTCCCCCACCCAGATCACTGTCAGCTGTACTACAACTGCAGCCGTGTGTACACCCAGGTGCCACGCTACTTTAAGCAGTATTTACAGGAGTGCCCCTACCCCCAGGTGTTTGACGTGGGGTCGGGAGCCTGTCGGGACTTCCAGTTGGTCAACTGTGGCACGAGGGACGAGACTATCAATGCTTGTAAGTATATGTTTAATATCACCAATATATCAGTGACAAAATGAGGATTAGTCGTTACATCGTCAGTTTTCTTATGACATGAGGGGGCACGGGTGGCCCAGTCGTCTAAGGCGCCGCGATTCGCTGTGCAGAATTGCGTCCCTTGGCACGCCAGAAACCTATGAGTGTGTGTTCGAATCGCGGTTCGCCCCGATTATGTTTCTAGGTTTGTCAGCACCATACCCGTGCTCGTGGGTTTCACCGAAGTGGTAAACGTCTGAGACCTGCATGACTTCGGGCTTTCCTCCCACATTAAGCTGACACGCCGTGATATTACTGGAATACTGTTAAAAGCGGCGTTAAACCCAACTCACTCACTCACTCACTCTTATGACATGAGGCGGTATGTTACCGAAGTCAAATTAAAGGAGAATTTTCAAAGATACTTAGATAAATTGCTGTTGTGTGTTGTCATTAATATGGAAACATACGCTTACACATTACATATGTTGACAAAGTAAACTATGGTTATAACTAACTCAAAGGGACTACTTATTTTAGTTCGTTATAACCGTAGTTCGTTGTAAGCATATATACAGCATATATATAACACATAGACGGGACTACAAAATAAGTTCGTTATATCGGTCAGTTCGTTATAAGCGTGTTCGTTATAACCGTAGTTTACTGTATATCTTTCAACATTTCTGGAAACATTTAAATAGTTCATGGTTAATGCAGAGAGATCAGTTTTACTGCAATAGAATAATAAAACTTCTTCGAGAATATTGCAAAAGTGAAATAGACTTACGGTCAAAAGAACGTATACTGAGATTGTTTTTTATTTAATTGAAAATTGAAAGAACGTCTGTTAAAATTTATTATGTCTATTTCACCATCATTCATACCTGCAGTTTGCAAAATGTAATCTGTGGCTGGGTAATTTTGTGTAAAAATTAATTGGTTCAATGAACCCCACTGGGGTAAGAAATAAATTTGCAACCACACGACCCCTACGCAAAGGAATTTTATTGATTAGATAATATGTCTAATATACTCATCATCAGTCTCCATCGTACAATTCCGACTACAGTACTCACTAAAAGTTAATTCCCCTAACACGCGTTGAGAACGCGTGTAACACGCATGTGACATGGATGCTCAACGGGTTGCACACGGGTTGAGCCTCCGTTGAACACGCGTGTGCAACGGGTGTGCAGCGCGTTGCAACCGTAACACGGGGCCGGGTTTCAGTTGAAGTTGGCAAATATATCAAATGAATAGTGGTATATCAAAACGGTGAGATGTGCTTATGTATGTCATAAGCAAGTGTTTATGAATCACTATCGAAGCGTGATAATACCAGGCCTTCGCCAAAAGGTGAGCGATTCTCCTTGACATCTCATATTTTACATTTGCTGTTTTGCAATCTCCAACCTCTCACAGATGACTGGTATACTGTATTCATCACAGCAATATTAACTGCATCTTACATTGACCTTATTTATTCCAATGTTAATACTTAAACGACATGTATTGTCAACTGTCTGCATATATGTTTGTGGGAAGGGCAATATATGTTTGTCGGGTAGCCTGGTGGTTAAAGCGTTCGCTCGTCACGCCGAAGACCAGGGTTCCATTCTCGACATGGGTACAATGTGTGAAGCCCATTTCTGGTGTCCCCTCGCCGTGATATTGCTGGAATATTGCTAAATGCGGCGTAAAACCATACTCACTCACTTTACCGACAGGTTACATGTTAACATCTGGATATGGGCACTTGCAATGCATTATAAATTTACAAATCGTAAATAAATCTTTACACCCAGAGTAGAAAACAAGTTTCTATTGTGTTCGTTGTGTTGTGGATAAATACATATATTTTTGGAGGGAGTTATTGGATTTTCATTGAAATTTTTGTTATTCCTGAAATTACTCGGAAAGGAATAGTTTACATCACCTTTATAACATTCCTGAGTAAAAATTTCCTTATGGAGACGAGTTAAATTGTTTGGCTCAGTGAAAGTTTTGAATCAGTGGTCGTAAGAGGCAACTAACGGGATCGGATGGTCAGGCTCGCTGACATGGTTGATGCATGTCATCGTAGCCTAATTGTGTAGATCGATGTCCATGATGTCAATCACTCGATTGTCTGGTCCAGACATTATCATTTACAGACCGGCGCTATGTAGCTTGAATATTGCTGAGAGCGGCGTTAAAAAACAAACAAATAAACAAAACTAAACTTTGAATCAGTGGACGAATCCACCTTGTCTAAAAAATCCCAGGCCATAAGTGGTCGATCCCAAACTGAGGCCCCGTGAAGGTTCGGGGTAGAATAGGTCTTCAGCAACCCATGCTTGCCCTAAAAGGCGACTATACTTGTCGTAAGAGGCGACTAACGGGATCGGGTGGTCAGGTTCGCTGACTTGGTTGAAGCATGTCGTCGATCCTAATTGGATCGATACTCATGATATCAGTCACTGGATTATCTGGTCCAGACTCGATTATTTACAGACCGCCGTCATATAGCTGGAATATTGCTGAGTGCGGCGTAAAACAACAAACCAACCAACCAATCAACCAACCCAAACTGAGAGTAACAGTGGAAAGAGGCACCAATCCCAACCAATTAACTCTCTTCTCCCTCAGGTGACTACCGTCAGAACTGGTGCCCCGTGTCCCACTGCTCCCCCTGCGGTACCCGCCTCCCGTCCTGTCAAGGCCGTCCCGACGGACCCAACCCCTTCCCTGGGAGGGAGTGGAGCCCCTGGTACATAGAGTGCCGCCAAGGAAGAACCATCACCACCACACAGTGCGAGAAGGACATCAACTTCAGAGTGCCACAGTACTTCAACATCGAGACAAGCCAGTGTATAAACTTGTTCCGCATTCCCCGAGAACGTGGGGGTTTGATGCCATCGTGCGAGGGTCTGTTTGACGGGTCCTACCCGGTGGAGGAGAAGGTACCGGGGGTGAAATTCATCTGCTCCGGGGGTAGGTTACTGAACCTCAGATACTGTCCCGACGGGTCAAGCCCGCGCCCAGAGCCTAGGACGTGTATTTACTCATAGCAAGGAGTCCCGGAGAAATATTTTGTAAGTATGTCTGAATTATTGTATGACTATTTGACTGACTGAGTTGGGTTAAACGCCGCTTTTAACATTATTCCAGTTATATCACGGCGTGTCAGCTTAATGTGGGAGGAAAGCCCAAAGTGATGCAGGTCTAAGACGTTTACCACTTCGGTGAAACCCCCGAGCACGGGTATGGTGCTGACCAACCTAGAAACATAATTGGGGCGAACCGGGATTCGAACCCACAATCATAGGTTTCTGGCGTGCCCAAGGGACGCAACTCTGCACAGCAAATCGCGGCGCCTTAGACGACTGGGCCACCCGTGCCCCCGTATGACTATTTGAAGCGTTACGACCTGAACTGAACTTTAATTACATACAAGGCTACAAGCTTCTTGGGGTTAAGAAAAAACATATTTACAATACAAGACCGGTATAGCCTAGGGTTACAGCAGATTCCCAGCTTGTCAGAGGCGGCTAATTGGTCTGAGTGTTCTGGAGCAGGTACTTGTTTCATGGCTGTTGTTTTTTCGAGCCAAACAATTATTTACAAGCTCACGCGATAAAGCTTGAACGTTGCTGACGGGGACGGTTAAAAATGTGTTGTAAATTCAATGTAAATTTTCTTGTTTAAGTCCTCTTGACGTGTAGTCACACACGTCTTGTCTAAGGCTGCCGCGGGGTGGTCTAGTTGTTAAAGTGTTCGCTCGTCGCGCCGAGGACCCGGTTCGATTCCCCGCATGAGAACAATGTGTGAAGCCAATTTCTGGTGTTCCCGCTGGATAGTGCTGGTATATTGCTGAAATACGGCGTAAAACGATACTCACTCACTCCTCGGCTGCCTGGTGGAGATAATGTACCACTGATTACTGACTGCTATAAACACGAATGCAAAGTGCACGGGTACTACATTCCCCTTTAAACAAGGGGTATTCTGGATGAAAACGAAACAAATTATGATGATCAATGTTTTTTTCATTTCTTACGTGTATTGAAACTATCGACAGTTAAATTGGATCAATGTCATATTAAGTATGGATATGTTATCTTTCTTCGTTCTGTTTTAATCCCGTTATGGGCAACAGCGATGAATCGATAGTTTGATTAACCGTTACACCACTAAACGTGAATAATGCATTAGGATAGGAGATTTGAATTGGTTTGAAATGTACACATAATGATTGTTCATTACATTGAAGTGACAACCCTTTGGAGCCTTTTGAACGAAAGTCACTATTAAATTTTACAAATACCAGTGAATTAACACACTACGTTTTGAAATCTGAATGTAAGACGACAAAAACGCAGTGAGTATTCTACATCCTACCATTCATTCAATTCCGATTTGTCCGAGGTTTCAAACCACAATAATCATTTCTGATTGAAACAGATGATTTGAAGGCCGCTGTGCTTTCTGTTCAATTAACCGCCGTATGCTATCCCTAAGTCCCCATCATTGTTAATCAACGTAATTGTTCATGGAAAGAACAAACTTCTGATATAACGAACTGATTGTGAGGGTTCATTATAGCCGATACACCCGGAGCTGAATGCACGTATGCCTTTAGAAATACAATAAACTACGCTTATAAACAACTCAAAGCGACCACTAATTAGTTCGTTATAACCGTAGTCGTTATAAGCATATATACAGCAAATGGCCGGGATAAAAAAATAAGTTCGTTATATCCGTCAGTTCGTTATAAGCGTGTTCGTAATAAACGTAGTTTAATGTATCTGGTATCTCTGTGGATATTCACGAATGCAAATGTCAACTGTGTGACCTGTTTGAGGGGGTGGCAATTTGAACTTCAAACATTGGGTCTACAAGATATTTGCGAAATGCCTGTCGAATGATACATAGAGTTGTACTGTCCCCCGTGAGTAAACTTAAAACCGGTTAGCTCACATGCAATTGATTGTATTGAAAATAACCGTTAATTCGAGGTGGGGTGAGGTGAAATCTGGTTTAACGTCGCTTTCAAGTTTATTTCACTTATATAGCTTGAGTTGCTTCTTGTTCTGGTCCGAAAGAGAATAAATTATAATCAATCGCGTACTTTTATACAAGATGAAAGAGGGGTGGTATTTTATATAAAAAAATATTCAGGGCTATCTATCCCTTTGAACCTAATAGTGTGAATTCTTGCGAAGGTTGCGTAGCTGCGACCACAGGTAAGTGCCAAGGTAGAATACACCCAGACATGTGCACTGATCGCGGTCAGGTGTGGCAGGTAACATGTCGTATTCATCACGACAAAACAAAGGTAATCTTATTTTAATCACGTTTAACTACACTTTACATAAGAATTTGAAACGGGAGAAGATGAAAAAGACCTCAAATGAGAAGAATTTCGAATTAAACAAGCCACCTATCCTTTAAAAAACGTGATTTGACGTTTTCCAATATGGCTCCCGAATTCGTACCGCCAAGTACCGATTTACCCCGAGACATTTTAAAAAGGATTACATAGGTACGGAATCGGTTAACTGTCTCACGCGATTACTACAAATATCAACCCGATATTAAGATTGTACAATACCTGTGACGCTCTATGAACCAGCGGAAGATACAAATCATCTAAAACAACAGGCCCGCGTGTTGTTGACGCTCGGATTACACGTTAAGCCCGTGCACGGCTTCTCTAAGCTGGAGCCATTGGCTTCACAGACGGGGGTAAGAGAGGCAGTTGTTTGAAAGTGGAACACGGACAAACATTAAATGTGTCGGACAAACGCTGCAAAAGACACGAGGTGGCTCCACAATTGCAAATGGATGGTTTCCCAACCTTAACTCCGTTATGGAAGAACGTGAATTGAATCTTGGATGGCAACATAAAACAGCCTCTCTTTTGAGCTGTTTTTTAGTGCTTTAGTGTTTTAATTCAAAGCAGACATCGGTCGGTAATCCCTGTTAGTTAAGCTGTTTAAGTTTCCCGGTTCCATCATTAAGGTAGACCTTGGCCTGTTAATGATGTTTTTTATTGATGTCAACTGGGTATGTCTGGTGACGTTGGCATGGCTTTTCAAAGAAAACTATTGTCGAGATACCAAGTATGTGCGACCTTCATACTCTTAAACCAGCCAAACTTGTTTTTTTCAAACGGATAAGGGATTTATTCGTATTAACATAATCTAGCTACACATATTATTGTCAACGCTGTTTGTATGAAACGTCCACCAATGAATCTATTCATGTACGTTAAATGTTAAAGTTTTAATTTTAATTGAACTGTGCATAAAGCGGGTCTTTAATAAATTAATTAAATAATTAATCAATCAATTAATCAATTAAATAAAATTATATTGTTCTTTGTTTATGGATATATTATTTCAAGAGCATGGGGTTTATGGGTATATTTTTTCAAGAGCATTGGGTCTATGGGTACACCAGAAGATGGAAGATGCATTATATATTATGGTTGTGTGACATGACAAGTCGTAATATGCCCGTAAATGATGAAATGCTGATAGAGAAAGCTCGCGATTTTGGTGGCAAAATGGACATTTCTGACTTTGCATATTCTCGATGTATCTGTTTGCTCTGTCATCTGTCATGAGTAAGAGGCTAGTTTCAGTTATACGGAAATTCGTTTATACGGACGAATTGTGAAATGACGCAAGTGTCCGTATAAACGAGGCACGACTGTATATTATTTCAAGAGCATGGGGCCTGTGATCGAAATGAAACTAGAAATATTTTTTTCAAAAAAAGGATTAATTTAAGAAGAAAATGTAAGCTGTCTCTCAAGGCTCTTTTTGGTTTGGTGTGTTTTCTCTGTATTTTTAACTCAAAGGAATAATTCATTTGCAATACTGACCAACTGAGTTGTATTTTACATGATTAGTTTTTAATTTCACTCACTCACTCACTCACTCACTCACTCGTTTCTGCTTCCAGGAACCAGGATCGTGATTTCATCTCCTACCAACCAAAGCATAAGAATAACTGTCGTCGTGTTCTCCACTGTCCGTCGTTTTCTCAACTGTCCATCGTCGTTAGCGTTGCCGTTCTTGATGTGATTACTCTTATAACGCCGTATTTACTTCCATGTTTATCGTAATCTATGTGCTGATGTCGCCATTTGTCTTTTGCGTCACAGATTCAGTTTATAGAATGTGCGTACCTTGTATTTGTACACAACACTGCGTATCTGTAAAGGAGATCTATATTCGTTATGATCAAACAAAGTCTTATCTGTTGTCGCCGACATTGTGCACAATACATGTAAAAATTAAAGGGGGACGACGCTCGGGCAGATTGGCTTCCCAGCAAAATTATTGAAGCCTCCAAAAAACCAGTACTGGTGCCTGTTTAGCAGTCATTATGTAGACCAAACTTTACATAAGATTATTAATGAAATTACACAGAGCCAATGCTTTAATTGATCAGGTATAAATTACAAAATCTGGGACTATGCTGAACATGGGCAGCAGACCTCTGAGCACAGTCCCCCTTTAAAGTTTTAATCATAGAGCACAGGATGTATACTGGAACATATTATAAACGCAACGTCACGAACAAGCGATTCTATAAATTTTATCCGTCCTGAAAGTACTTCACCTCCGTCGTTTGACGACTTCATGAAGATACAGGAGATGCAGGTCTGATGACGGTCTCGTGGCTTGATGACGTCACCGTTCGCAAAGGACTGGCTTCGAAATGGCCATGCACGTCAGAATATCATGTATATTACTCTTGCCATTTGGTATGATATGAATATCGGTGGTAAGTTAGAAAGTCAAATGTTGTGTTTCGTTATTGTTTCAGTATGCATTGGGTGTAGTGTCAGAGTTAAAGGTGCATTTCGTTATATGTTCATTTACATGCGTCCGTCGTGTAACAACAATGTGTTCACTGTTCACCCTTCATGTGTTCTCGGGTCAGTGTACATTGTTCAGAGTTCAACAGTCAGTGATCATGATGTGTCCACGACGTAACAGCTGCCAATATTAAATTCGATTTTTCGCTTTTGGCTGTTCACATATACATTCTGTTCAGCAACACATTCCAGTGTATTGTTCACAGCAGTGTTCACGGGGCAGTGTTCACGGGGCAGTGTTCATATCACTGTTCACAATGTATTGTTCACAGCAGTGTTCACTGTGTAGTGTGTACATCGCATTCCAAAGTGCAGTGTTCACGCCAGTGCTAACTGTGCAGTCTGCACGTCATTGTTCATGATGTTGTGTTCACGATGTGTTCACGATGTGTTCACGATGTGTGTGTGTCCTTAATTCAACACTTACTTTCAGCGATCTCTTCTTTCAATTTGTAAATAGCATGTAAGTAATATGGACATACTCAATGGTATAGCTGACCCGAAGTCAATGACGTCTTAGGAAAATTATCTTCAATGTTTGATCAAACACTTCATTTCTTGAGGGTGGGGACGTTTTATTGAAATATTTCAATACCGAGCATATGTGTCAGTGTGTTATACTTCGTGACTAAATTGACTGATACTTAAGAAATCATCTAACACAATGTGAACTATATGAAAAAGAATCAATACATATTATTTCTTTATAAAAAAAAACGTTCATCAACAAGCGTGGCGCGTTCAAAACTAAGCTCCATAGCAGAACATGCAGGTTTCGGCGCTGTAACGAGATTGCCTTCCCATTATGTGAAATGTTAGAATTTATACCATCCGAGATCCCTCGTGTCATTCCAGGACATGCCGAATGGCGGTTCCGGAAAGAGGCGAGTGGTGACGAATGATTTGATACAGTTAATTGACCTTCTCCAGTTAATCGGATGTTTTGATTTCGATATGAATGAAACAGATGTGTACATAGTTTGCAGAATATGTTTCATATATGTACATAATGTTTTGAGATTTATTTATTTTATTTCAATAAAATTTCTTTCTGATGAATAGATTGTATTTTATGTTTCATAAAGACCTAGGCATACGTATGCATAGTTCGTTGGAACATACGCCCCATTATATGTCCAGTGATCGATATTGTGAGTATGAATCCACGCCTTTGGGGTACGATGACATGCATTCAATCAAGGCTCCGAACCTGACCACCCATCCGTTTCATTGCCTTTTCCTTGGGACTTATTCTCACTAGAAATCGCCACGGGTGTCCATTAAGTAATCGAGTGGTTAACTCACAAAGCAAGGACCGCCCTTTGTTAACACAGTGCATGGACCTTCCTTTGTTAACACACAGTGCATGGACCTTCCTTTGTTAACACACAGTGCATGGACCTTCCTTTGTTAACACACAGTGCATGGACCTTCCTTTGTTAACACACAGTGCACGGACCTTCCTTTGTTAACACAGTGCATGGACCTTCCTTTGTTAACACACAGTGCACGGACCGTCCTTTGTTAACACACAGTGAATGGACCGTCCTTTGTTAACACACAGCGCATGGACCTCCCTTTGTTAACACACAGTGCATGGACCTTACTTTGTTAACATACAGTGCATGGACCTTCCTTTAACACACAGTGCATGGACCGCCCTTTGCTAACACACAGCGCAAGGACCTTCCTTTGTTAACACACAGCGCATGGACCTTCCTTTGTTAACACACAGTGCATGGACCTTCCTTTGTTAACACACAGTGCATGGACCTTCCTTTGTTAACACACAGTGCATGGACCTTCCTTTGTTAACACACAGTGCATGGACCGTCCTTTGTTAACACACAGTGCATGGACCTTCCTTTGTTAACACAGTGCATGGACCGTCCTTTGTTAACACACAGCTCATGGACCTTCCATTGCTAACACACAAGTGAAGGGACAAGAATATTACAAGTATTTCCCCTGGCTATTTTCTGAACAAGATAGTCACGATAGTTCCGCGCTATCCGACAACAGAACTGTTCTGACTGTATAAACTGTGAGATCGGCAACATCTACACGTGTCGGCATTGGTGGGATTCAGCGACAAAAACTGCCTTTAGGCTACTATGAATCTGAGGGTAAAATGGGTGAACATGGGTGAGTCTTAATTCATCTCATGTTTCGTCATCAGCCTGGATTGCGGGGCGCCATACTTATGTTTTTGACCAGTGTTTTATCAACTTCAATATTTTGAACATCGTAGGCCAATATCAAAAAATGATTGTTGATCCAAGCGATAAACCCCATTCCATCGTTTTCCTGTCAAATTATTTAATATAATCATGGAATTAGTGTGATGGGTTTAACGTTTAACATCATTTCATTCATATCACGGAGTCTCGGCTTAATATGGCTTGAGTCGGCTCAAACCCCCAAAGTGACACATGGTTTTAACCTTTACCACCTTGACGGAACCCCCGTGTGCGGATGATGTGCTGTCAAACAAAAATCATAATAAAGTCGCATCTGGGATAACGAAGCCATGATCATAGGTCTTGGCACGCCTCAAAGAAGTAACGCTTGGCACGCCTCAAAGAAACAACGCTTGGCACGCCTCAAAGAAGCAACGATTGGCACGCCTCAAAGAAGCAACGCTTGGCACGCCTCAAAGAAGCAACGCTTGGCACGCCTCAAAGAAGCAACGCTTGGCCTCAAAGAAACAACGCTTGGCACGCCTCAAAGAAGCAACGATTTGCACGCCTCAAAGAAGCAAGGCTTGGCACGCCTCAAAGCAGCAAGGCTTGGCACGCCTCAAAGAAGCAACGCTTGGCACGCCTCAAAGAAACAACGCTTGGCACGCCTCAAAGAAGCAACGCTTGGCACGCCTCAAAGAAGCAACGCTTGGCACGCCTCAAAGAAGCAACACTTGGCCTCAAAGAAACAACGCTTGGCACGCCTCAAAGAAGCAACGCTTGGCACGCCTCAAAGAAGCAAGGCTTGGCACGCCTCAAAGAAGCAAGGCTTGGCACGCCTCAAAGAAACAACGCTTAGCACGCCTCAAAGAAGCAACGCTTGGCACGCCTCAAAGAAGCAACGCTTGGCACGCCTCAAAGAAGCAACGCTTGGCACGCCTCAAAGAAGCAACGCTTGGCACGCCTCAAAGAAGCAACGCTTGGCCTCAAAGAAACAACGCTTGGCACGCCTCAAAGAAGCAACGATTGGCACGCCTCAAAGAAGCAAGGCTTGGCACGCCTCAAAGAAACAACGCTTGACACGCCTCAAAGAAGCAACGCTTGAAACGCCTCAAAGAAGCAACGCTTGGCACGCCTCAAAGAAGCAACGCTTGACACGCCTCAAAGAAGCAACGCTTGGCACGCCTCAAAGAAGCAACGCTTGACACGCCTCAAAGAAGCAACGCTTGACATGCCTCAAAGAAGCAACGCTTGGCCTCAAAGAAACAACGCTTGGCCTCAAAGAAGCAACGCTTGGCACGCCTCAAAGAAACAAGTCTTCACAGCGGATAGTGTCACCTTACACAACTGGACTACTCGTGCCCACCATTAACACGGGTGACGAGTGATGTGTGCGTGCGTGCGTGCGTGCGTGCGTGCGTGCGTGCGTGCGTGCGTGCGTGTTATGCATTATGAATTCCCAAACTTTCAGATTGAATTCGTTGCATATGGTTTAAATAAGCGCCCATTTTCCAAGTGCTATAAGATCTTATTAGGGTGAATACCGTAGTGTTTATGGTAAGAAAGTAATCTAAACCAGAAGGCTATATTGGTAGTTTTATATTGTTGTTTTTTATACGGTTAGGGTAACAAATAAAGAAAATATAAGTCAGAAACAAACAACAGAAATGAAACAAGTTTTCGTACGATTTATTTACTATTAACGAAACTCCAAAAAGGACGTGAAAGTGTATTTGCTGACACATCACAATGATGGACAGGTCTCATTTCCCAGGATTAAAGGGTGCCCGGCTTTCACACTGTCTCGTCGTGGGCGAGAACTCCGTATAAAACAGCCCCTGCGTACCACAGATCTGCAGCGCAAGAGTTCTCTCCCCTTGACAAATGACGTAATGGGGTGACCCCTCTCTGGTCTTGAAGACATTATTGCCGTCGGGGAGACCGACACAGCTGGCGAAGTTGTTGTCTTGGCAGGTTGCGCAAGGGGGCTCGGAGCACGAAAACTGGTAGTCACCTTTAAAAATATAAGTTATTTGTTCTTAAGATCGTCATCAATAACGTCTATTAAAAGTAGCCATTGAAATCCCCAAACGAGGTTAACAATATCGTGCTATCATTAGCGTCACTGGATTTTTCTAGACAATTTTACCCGGTAACTGATGTCCGGTTCAGAATAGGAAACCCAGAGACGCATTTAGAACACGTGTTACTTTAGGTCTTGCAGCCTTTGGGTATAGCTCGATGGCTTCCTTTTAAATAAAAATGTCTGGCATTTTAAGTGCAATTAGAAAGAGCGATGATATTAGATATTTTCTAATGAGCTTCTGGGCATTATGATGCCATTTTAGTAATGTTCATTATGAGAACTCGGATTAAGCGTGGGCAATACTAAATATACTATGTGACGTTAGACCGTCCCATCATAAAATAAACTGTCAGAACTTAACGACGGTCAACCATAGACCTGTTTAATAAGGGTTGTTATCTCCCTTGAAGAACAGGGGTCTACTGCATCCAGAGAACAATGGAAATTAGTATATGCATAGCAGGGTGTGTGTGTGTGGGGGGGGGGGGGGGAGGGAGAGGTTAATGTGTGCCTGGAATTGGAATTCATAAAGATAAATTGTTCCCATGCTTGTAAAGGGTAACTGTTGGAAAAAAACAGGAATTGTCTGCCACCAAAATTACATCGTTACCAGTTGATTTCTTTAGAGGTTACATATATATATATAAACAATATCTGTTTTTGCAGCTGTATCAAAACAGACTCGGCTGGTTTAATGTCGTAGTGGAGCGAATAGCAGCTGAACATAAAGGTACATCTCAATCGTTCCCCTTTGGAATTGGTGTATATCGCTATGCACAATTTACATATTGATTGAATTATTAATTAATTAACGAAAGTGAAATTCCGAGTTACGTGCTTCTGAAACTGCAATATCTTTAAAAAGACCTTGATAACAACTGCTTTCGAGTGAAAAGCGAGACAGTTGATGTTTGCCGAACATTTCTCAATAATTTTACTGCCGCTTCATTTTGTCATCCGTCTCACGTGAGTGAGAGCTTTGGCGAAGACAGGTTTCGTGAGTCAGTAAGTGAGTTGGGTTTAACGCCGCTTTTAACAGTATTCCAGTTATATCATGGCGTGACAGCGTAATGTGGTAGGAAAGCCCGGAGTGGGTTTCAGACGTTTACCACTTCGGTGAAACCCACGAGCACGGGTATCGTGCTGACAAACCTAGAAACATAATCGGGGCGAACAAGGATTCGAACCCACAATCATAGATTTCTGGCGTGCCCAAGGGAGGCAACTCTGCACAGCGAATCGCGGCGCCTTAGACGACTTGGCCACCCATGCCCCCGTTTGTCCGTAGAATATTTGTAGATTGTATGTATGTAGAATGTTTGTAGATTGTATGTACGTAGAATGTTTGTAGATTGTATGTACGTAGAATATGCGTACGTAGAGTGAGTGTACGTATAAGCACTGTACGTATAACGTCGGGGCGAACAAGGATTCGAACCCATAATCCTAGGATTCTGGCGTGCCCAAGGGACGCAACTCTGCACCGCGAATGGCGGCGCCTTAGATGACAGGGCCACCCGAGCCCCCAGATAGGTTTCGAATCGTGAGAGAGTGAAACAACTGATTTTTATGAAATGGTTCAACTACGAGTGACTGACACAAGGGGCAATTTATATACTCATACAAAGTTGGTTGGTTGGTTGGTTGGTTGTTTAACGCCGCACTCAGCAATATTCCAGCTATATGACGGCGGTCTGTTAATAATCGAGTCTTGACCAGACAATCCAGTGATTGACATCATGAACATCGATAAACGCAATTGGGATCGATGACATGCACGAACCAAGTCAGCGAGTCTGACCACCCGATCCCGTTAGTCTCCTTTTACGACAAGCATAGTCACCTTTTACGGCAAGCATGGGTTGCTGAAGACCTATTCTACCCCGGAATCTTCATGGGTTCATACAAAGTAATGTCACAAAGATACTTTATTTACAACAGACGAATATACAACATCGCGAAGCATAAATATGCATATTTAATAAATTGGTTTATGTGTTGTTTAACGCATCATTTACTAATATTCCACCTGTATGACGGCTGTCTGTAAATAATCACATCTAGACTAGACAATCCAGTGATTGACATCATGAGCATCTATCTACGCAAATTTGCGGTTAAACTGTCCGTACTCGGGCATATATACTCACATGGCCGCTTTGTCTCCGTCCGTGCCGCACATGATACGGTGGTGTGGGGCTGGCACCGCATGTTGACGGTGGAATAGAGGTCTGGGTAGCTGCACTCCTTCAGGTAGTCCGGGAAGGCGTAGCTGTCGCCGCCGATGTAGGCTGAGCAGTCGTAGTAGCGGTTACACATGGTCGGGTGCTCTACCTTCGCAGCACCCATAGCGCATACGTAGCTGATCACCTCTGTGAAAAAAATTGTTTGTTGTTTAAAGTCGTCTTAATGACAATATGTCAAATGGATAAGATCTACTGTTAATTTATATGAGTGTTATTATATTGGCGCTAAAAATAATGCCGATGCGACGTAAAATTTTAACTCACTCACTCATATTGGCCTTGTTGTAGAACCAAGGTCAGTCATATTGGAATACAGCCTTTTAAGGGCCAATACGTCTGACCAAGGACCACTAATATGGCCATTATAAAAACACCCATTTAAGGACATATATATTTACTACCTAAACTCTGTTATCAACTTGAAGTAACATCAGTCAAGAAGATCAAGAAAAACCTAAAAATCTTTTTGTAACATGAAAACAGGATCTCCGCTCTAACGAAGTGTGATGCCAGCAGTCTATCGCCTTGATATGACAGCAAGCACGCCTTGATATGGGCAAGCATGCACAAGGCCGTATTGGCCCGGCAAAGCCGTATTGGCCTGCTAAAATACTGTACTGGCCCGCTATGCCGGGCCGTATTAACGACAGTCGATTAATAAATGAAAGACATTAAGTGTTAAGGAAAGTGTTCAAGAATAGAAACGTATCTGCATATAGATGACATGAAGCACATATCAGCTGCATAGGTCTTACATGTCTCACCTGACCCGTGAAGATCCGGGGTAGAATAGGTCTTCAGCAACCCATGCTTGCCGTAAAAAGCGACTATGCTTGTCGTAAGAGGCGACAAGTGGATCGGGTGGTCAGGCTCGCTGACTTGGTTGATGCATGTCTTTGTTCCCAATTGTGTGGATCGATGCTCATGATTTCAATCACTGGATTGTCTGGTCCAGATTCAATTATTTACAGACCGTCGCCAAATAGCTGGAATATTGCTGAGTGCGGCGTTAAACAACGAACAAACAAAACGAAAAAACATGTCTCACCTGCATACTCTCTAAATGAAACATATCTCACCTGAATAATGTCTACATGAAACATATCTCACCTGGATAAAATTTACACAAAATTTCACATGGATAGATCCCATATCAAAGTACCACACCTGGTTAAAGTCTGTACGAAACATATCTCACCTGCATAAGGTCTACATGAGCCGGCGTCCGGGTGGAAGACTTGTTAAAGTCTGTACGAAACATATTTCACTTGCATAAGGTCTACATGAGCCGGCGTCCGGGTGGAAGACTTGTTAAAGTCTGTACGAAACATATCTCACCTGCATAAGGTCTACATGAGCGGGCGTCCGGGTGGAAGACTTGTTAAAGTCTGTACGAAACATATCTCACTTGCATAAGGTCTACATGAGCGGGCGTCCGGGTGGAAGACTTGTTAAAGTCTGTACGAAACATATCTCACTTGCATAAGGTCTACATGAGCCGGCGTCCGGGTGGAAGACTTGTTAAAGTCTGTACAAAACATATCTCACCTGCATAAGGTCTACATGAGCGGGCGTCCGGGTGGAAGACTTGTTAAAGTCTGTACGAAACATATCTCACCTGCATAAGGTATACATGAGCGGGCGTCCGGGTGGAAGACTTGTTAAAGTCTGTACGAAACATATCTCACCTGCATAAGGTCTACATGAGCGGGTGTCCGGGTGGAAGACTTGTCTGATGCCATCTATATCAGGGCAAGAATGGAATCCGATTGTCCTCCCCTTGTCGCACGTGACGTAGAACGCCGTGCCCTCCCTCCCCTGGTGGAGGTTTTGCCCGTCCTCCAACCCCTGGCAGCTGGGGTAGGAAACAGAGCACGGGATGCAGTTGGGGCCGGTGCACTTGTTCCTGGAGTAGTCACCTGGACAGGATCATGAAAGGGATATAGTCACCTAGACACAAACATTGAACGGGATGTAGTCACCTGGACACGATCATGAACGAGATATAGTCACCTAGACACAAACATTGAACGGGATGTAGTCACCTGGACACGATCATGAAAGGGATATAGTCACCTAGACACAAACATTGAACGGGATGTAGTCACCTGGACACAATCATGAACGGGATATAGTCACCTGGACACAAACATGAACGGAGTGGAGTCACCTGGACACGATCATGAACTGGATATAGTCACCTGGACACAATCATGAACGGAGTGGAGTCACCTGGACACAAACATGAACGGGATGTAGTCACCTGTACACAATCATGAACGGAGTGGAGTCACCTGGACACAATCATGAACGGAGTGGAGTCACCTGGACACAAACATGATCGGGATGTAGTCACCTGGACACAATCATGAACGGGATGTTGTCACCTGGACACAATCATGAACGGGATGTAGTCACCTGGACACAATCATGAACGGAGTGTAGTCACCTGGACACGATCATGAACGGGATGTTGTCACCTGGACACAAACATTGAACGGGATGTTGTCACCTGGACACAAACATTGAACGGGGTGTTGTCACCTGGACACAAACATTGAACGGGGTGTAGTCACCTGGACACGATCATGAACGGGATGCAGTCACCTGGACACAATCATGAACGGGATTTAGTCACCTGAACACGATCATGAACGGGATGTTGTTACCTGGACACGATCATGAACGGGATGCAGTCACCTGGACACGATCATGAACGGGATGCAGTCACCTGGACACGATCATGAACGGGATGCAGTCACCTGGACACAAACATGAACGGGATGTAGTCACCTGGACACAAACATGAACGGGATGTTGTCACCTGGACACAATCATGAACGGGATATTGTCACCTGGACACAAACATGAACGGGATGTAGTCACCTGGACACAAACATGAACGGGATGTAGTCACCTGGACACGATCATGAACGGGATGCAGTCACCTGGACACGATCATGAACGGGATGTAGTCACCTGGACACAAACATGAACGGGATGTTGTCACCTGGACACAATCATGAACGGGATATTGTCACCTGGACACGATCATGAACAGGATATAGTCACCTGGACACAAACATGAACGGGTTGTAGTCACCTGGACACAAACATGAAAGGGATGTAGTCACCTGGACACAATCATGAACGGAGTGGAGTCACCTGGACACAATCATGAACGGAGTGGAGTCACCTGGACACAAACATGAACGGGATGTAGTCACCTGGACACAAACATGAACGGGATGTAGTCACCTGGACACAAACATGAACGGGATGTAGTCACCTGGACACAATCATGAACGGGGTGTAGTCACCTAGACACGATCATGAACTGGATATAGTCACCTAGACAGGATCATGAACGGGATGTAGTCACCTAGACAGGATCATGAACGGGATGTTGTCACCTGGACACGATCATGAACGGGATGGAGTCACCTGGACACGATCATGAACGGGATGTTGTCACCTAGACAGGATCATGAACGGGATGTAGTGACCTGGACACAATCATGAACGGAGTGGAGTCACCTATACACAATCATGAACGGGATGTTTGTGTCCAGGTGACTACCCCGATGTGTAGTCTTGGTAGTCAAAGAGGTACGATGGAAATATTTGGTGTTCCCCTACTTAACGTTTAACGTTGTATATATGACATTAACTGTATACACTTGAAAACTGGATTTGACCAAAAAGTTACAAACGCCATCAAAACGTGACTGGGCTGAAAACAGACGCCGAAACACTGCAAGCTTAAGGTCCAAACACACAATTATATACCCGAATCAAATACTTCACCATCGAATAACTATTTCTGGTTTATTTAATTTGTGGCAAAAACACCAGAGGAGATGCTACCTTTGGGTGATACATGGACCTTGGGGTAATGTCCACATAGTTTATCAGATGGGATAGCTCTACGCCTGGAGGCGGAAATTACAATATGATACATTGTTCTCTGTTGCTATCAATATGACATCTTTGTGTTGAGCAAACCAAGAGTATAACCGTAAGATGAAGACGCATTTGAAAACCGAATAGATCGACAAGGAGGCATGTTTTACCCTTGGAATGTGCCCTGGGAGATGTGATTTTTACATTTGAGTTGACAGCAACATAATATAGTCAGTCAATGTCCTCTGTGTGAACCTTCATTATGAAGGTTATGTTTCCCAGGTCCATATTTGTTAAGGTCATGGGCCGCTCTGGAAACTGAGCCAAAGGAAGGGTGAGTGAGTATGGTTTCGCGCCGCTGTAAGCAATATTCCAGCAATATCGCGCGTGGGACACCAGACATGGGCTTCACACATTGTATCCATGTCGGGAATCGAACAAGGGTCTTCGGCGTGACGAGCGAACGCTTTAACCACTAGGCTACCTGGCCGCCCCTAGCCAAAGGAAGAAGAGACTGGAGCAGTTTCCATTCTGTCATAAGTAATGTACTAAAACTCTGGCACAATAAAACAGATAAATTGCAGTAAAACCTATAATATGAAATATTGTTTCCAAAAGGTTTCAAGAAATAAATTCTGTTTTCGGAAGTACGTATTTAAAACGGTTTAATATATACTTGACTAGGTTAACGAGAAGTACAATGTCCTTCATAGAGGTCTCTTACGAAAGGTATAGTGGCCTCTTACGACAGGTACAGCGGCATCTTACGACAGGTATAGTGATCTCTTACGACAAGCATGGGTTGCTGAAGACCAATTTGACCTGGCCCTTCAAGGATGTGGTCCGTACTGATGCCGGTTTTACAGTGTTAATCCACTGAAATACCATGCCGCAGTTGAAAATGGATACACCATTCAGATAGAGTATCCTAGCCAACCAGTCTCGTTTATCTCCTCAATGCCGAGTGCCGAGGGCAAAGTAAGATTACAACGAGTACCATTTTTTAACGTATTTTGGTATGGCGCGGCCGCGGATATATCCTCTAGCCACTATACCACGGAGGCGAACGGCACTCATAATTATGCAAAGATACGTGAACTACACTCCCCTTCTATCAAGTAAACTGCGGTTATAACGAACTCAAAGGGACCACTAATTTTAATTCGTTATAACCGTAGTTCCTTAAAGCATATGTACAACATCTATACAGAAAATGGACGGCACCAAGAAACAGTTTGGTATATCCGACAGTTCGTAATAAGCGTGTTCGTTATAAACGTAGTTTACTGTACAGTGAAACCCAGAATGGTAAAGTTCCCGTACACTCGTCCAGATTAGGGATACGGAGCAATTACTCTTTGTGTGCGTGCGTGCGTGCGTGCGTGCGTGCGTGCGTGCGTGTGTATTTGCGTAAGGTGTGTGACCTTTTTACTTACAGTAGTCGAACTTGACAGCTCTCTGCCCACAGTCTACTGTCTTGAAGTTCTGGCAGCGGAAGTTAATACTGGAGAAGAGTTGAGGGTAGGGACACTCGGCTTCGTATTTGGCGAAGTAAACGTCAGGGGTCACAGAGGCTAGTGCGCAGTCGTAGTACTTGTGGCACTCACTCGGATGTGGAATGGTCCTGGCGTCACCTGAACATAGTTGTTCGATGGCTGCCGTGGCGAACTCTGAAAAAAATCACGAGTTACACTTTGCTGTGAAATATCATCATGAATCATGTCGGGAGTGAGTGAGTGAGTGACTAATTAACACCGCTGCGTACGTACCGTTTCATTAACATGTTATAAACTGGTAGTCATACATTGGAATGAGAGACTGAATCAGTGAGAGGGTTGGGTTTAAAGCAGCTGTGAATTTTTTTATATATAATATCACGCTTCAGCGTGATGGCAGAGGGAAATTGAGTGGTTGGTTGGTTGTTTTGTTGTTTAATGTCGCACTCCGCAATATTCCAGCTATATGGCGGCGGTCTGTAAATAATCAACTCTGGACCAGACAATCCAGTGATTAATATCATGAGCATCGATCCACGCAATTGGGATAAGATGACGTGTATCAACCAAGTCAGCGAGCCTGACCACCCGATCCCGTTAGTCGCCTCCTACGACAGGCATAGTCGCCTTTTACGACAAACATGGGTTGCTGAAGACCAATTTCTATCCCGGATCTTCACAGGTCTATTTAGTGAGTGAGTGGGTGAGTGAGTTCAAATTAAACGTCACGACGTCAATATTTCAGCCATATCCTGACGGAACAAAATTATACATTAATAACAAATATAATTTTATCAATTTAGACTGTATAAGAACAGGCATCATCCCGAGGCAAGGGAGTTAACTGTCACTATCTTGGTCCAGTTTCCACCCTGCCGAATTAGGCTCAATGAAATATGGTTGCTCGATCGTAGCGCCACCAATGGCTATGAGAGTAATCTCCCTCCAATTAATTAATCAGATTCCACCGTTCATATCACTTTCATTTTCTTCAAACAAAATGGCGGTGCATAGTCAAGATGATCTGATCGATAATCAAGATCCATATTAAAATATACTGAACCGCAAAATAAACCCCAAGTAATATTACATGAAAGGTTGTCATTTAAATATTTGGGTAATTTTTGTCAAAGTTTCTAACATTACCGTGTCCGGAAAAATGAAATTCGATGATAAAAAAACAAAGCAGATGACAATTAAACCGATCGCCCAAACGCAAAAATCCACCCAGATCGGAAAACATTCATTCGTTATTGAATTGCTACCACATGCCAAGATTGACAAGAAATCAGCGACACCAAGCCATTGCAAGCTGGACAAACCACCCGGCAAGTAGCCAATGCAACGGTACGAGACCACCAACACTACAGATGGCCGACGACGTAGTGGAAGACCAAGGGTGACACACCAGCGACACATTAGTGCGGACATCGTGCGTCAACGATTGACGAGCAGACACCTCCACTGCCACAGGCCACACCGAGGACCCATTCTGACACCACGTCATCGCCGGAACCGTCTTCAGTGGGCAACACAGCACCAGCATTGGCGCCACCAGCAGTGGAGAAGAGTCCTCTTCTCAGACGAGAGCCGTTACTGTATCTCAACAGCAGATGGCAGAGAGAGAGAGACTCTGGCAACGCCGTGGGGATGCTTGTGTTGTTGAGAGAGACTCGTGGGGTGGTCCGAGCATCATGGTGTGGGGTGGAATTGGTCTTGCACAGAGGGTCGGCCCTGTGGTCTTCCAGAACATCGGTCCAGGGAGAGGCAATGGTGTCAGAGCAGCTCGGTACATTGATCAAGTCTTGAGACCACACGCCATACCTCATTTGGCACGTCGCCGCAACCACGAATTTCAGCATGATAACGCCCGTGCCTACACTGCGAGAGCAACAAGACTTCCTCCAGCAGAATGGCATCAGAACCATGCAGTGGCCTGCCCTCAGTCCCCAATTTAAATCCCATTGAGCACTTGTGGGACGAGATTCAAAGACGGCTGAATGACGTCCGACCAAGGCCGACAACCTCAGCTGAACTGCGAGATACTGACTTGTGATGCCAATTTCTCAGAGACTAGTGTTGCGTTTCACTTTAAGAACATTTGACACTTTAATTTCAACCTTGATAATCAGTTTTGGCAAGTTTCATCTATTTAATACGTCTCAAAGTATGTTTACAGTGTTTGGACAAATAAGGTTTATCATCTATCTATCCATGGTGACGTTTATTTTGCGGTTCAGTATATAACGGTATATATAAGTACATCAAATCACTTGAGCACCTTCATTATAAACATGAAAGATTTAGAAAATATCTGTCGATGCCGAGGTGACAGTAACACATGCTCTGAAAATCCTGCAATCGACCGAAATCTGCTCGGTTGTCGCCGTGATTTCGATTTCGTTACGTGATTTTAAGTGAGTAAATGCTATAATTCAGAATAACGATTCAGATTCAGTACACATTTTCCCCCACACACACTTAGATTTACCATAAGTAGTATTAAGAATCGTACCGGGAACATCTGGAGGGTTGTCCGATGTCTGAAATGGACACACGCAGTTGCAGGTGACTTTGGCAGCGTCATCACAGGTACCCGTAACGTCGTTGAAACAAAGGTAGGGTGGACACGCCTTCTTGTAGGCCACGTCGTTGAAGCAGTCCCAGTAGTAATGACAGTTCGTGTCGTCTGCTTTGTCTCTTCTCCCAGACAAACAGTACCGCGTAGATCCGAGTATAGCGCCTGTGACTCCACTCAGAAACAACATCGCCGACAACGTCAGGAAAAGGGAAAAACTGACATACATCATGAGATGAAGGCACAGAATGCAGCTTCAAGAGCAGCAGACGACAACAAAAGCAGACGACAACCGTCGCAGCAGACGACAACCACTGCAGCAGACAACTGCCGCGGACGTCAATATGCTGTATGAGGAATAGGTAAGGTTATTTTATTTTAATACTCGTCTCAGTTTACTTCTTCGGGCGGTGAAGATTTTATATGTTTTTTATTTGTTTTGCGACGTAAAGATAATCTGATAAAGCACTGTTACCGTTGAATTTATGTGACATACGTTGTGAAGATTTGGATATAACTCAACGTCTCTTATTCCCCGAGGGCAAAATGTTGTTTGGGACTTTATCGAAAATAATATATTGTCCCGGAAAGTTCTTGAACAAATAATTATGCTTCGAACAGTAGCGAAAAAGGGAATTGTCTGCCACAAAAATTTAAATTCATTGTTGCAAGGCGTTTTTTCTTTAAAAAAATATTCAGACTCATAGTTTTGAAGCTAATCTCCTGACCGTAATTTGGAACATGGAAACAGTAGGGTAGAGAGCCCAAGGAGCATAAAATGAAGTCATGGGATCATGTCTCACCCGCTCACGCACGCACACACGCAGGCACACAAGCACGCACGCAGGCAAACACACATATGTTCCTCAGTCTTGAATGTGCACTCATCAGAAGTCTATTTTACTACATATTACATGTAGGTATTATTATGATAAACACATGTATTTTGTATATTTCAATGAGTGAACCAATGGGATGCAGATGCCCTGATAAACCAGTGTTTTTAAGAATCTCTTTTTGTAAGTACAAGTATGCCAGCAAGGGATATTTTAACGTGCGTCTCTTAATGTTTATGGGGAGTTTTCGAAACACAAGTTGTTGATAAACGTTGTTTCGGGTATTTTTTTAGGCACATAAATATTGTAAAACACTTGTCTTCCGTTTTTTTATGATATTTAAAAGCTTCTTTATCAGGATAAAGAGACAAACAGCCTCGGTTTTATCCCTCGGATGAAGGTTTTATATTTTAGAAAAAAACAACTAGGGAGGTATTTATCCTACACTGATAAACTGACTTCAACTTTGGCACATCTCGCGACTTATAACGAACAATGCGAGATTATAAACATATGCGACCACAAACCATGTTTCGTTAAAGCAATTATAACTAGATTTGCTTTCAAGTGAGTCACACATCACTGCGTGCATGAGAACGTCTTTATTGAACCTCGGGGGGCACGGGGGGCCCAGTCGTCTAAATCGCCGCGATTCGCTGTGCAGAGTTGCGTCCCTTGGGCACGCCATAAACCTATGATTGTGGGTTTGAATCCCGGTTCGCCCCGATTATGTTTCTAGGTTTGTCAGCACCATACCTGTGCTCGTGGGTTTCACCGAAGTGGTAAACGTCAGAGACCTGCATCACATCGGGCTTTCCTCCCACATTAAGCTGACGCGCCGCGATATGGCTGTAATACTGTTAAAAGCGGCGTTAAACCGAACTCACTCACTAATGAACCTCGCCGCGATAAGCTGCAAGACAAACGTGGCTTTAAGCAATAACAGGGAGTCTCTATATAAGGTATTTGTATAGTCTCCCTGGCAATGATCACTCTCCAACTCACACTTGAACATCTTTCCTCATATGTATTGACTGAGGTGAGGTGAAATTGGGTTTAACGTCACGTCCAAGATTATTGCACTTATGCATGCACGTGTATGTGTGTGTGTGTGGCTGCTTGTACTAGTCCGGACTGATGCCGATTTATGGTGCTAGCTCACTGAGATACCATGCCGCAGTTTAACATGAATACCCCACTCAGACACAGTATACTGACTCCGAGCCGACCAGTCCTTGTTTTAGCCCCTTAATGCCGAGCGCCAGACAGGGTAACAACAAGTACAATCTTTTAACGTCTTTTTGTATGACGCGGCCGGGGATCGAACCCTGGACCTTCCGCTCTCCGGGCGGACGCTCTACCATCATTGACTGAGTGAGCTTTGATAAACAATTGGATCGAAGTTGTAACTTTCATCGGGGTACTTTTGAGTGAGCGAGGGAGTGGGTGTGTTTTTAACACAACGTTTAGCAATATTCTAACAATATCATGGCGGGGGATACCAGAAATGGGCTTCACACATTGTACCCACGTTGGGAATCGAACCCGATCCTTCGGCGCGATGAGCGAACGCTTTAACCATTAGGCTACCCCACCGCCCTGGAACTTTTGAGAAAACCATGACATGCACACGACCTTTATTTATCAACATTTCATATGCAATCATTCCATTTCACCGTCAGTTTAAAGTTTAATAAGCTTAAGACATTAATATATATTTCAGCTGTAGCGCACAGGAGTGGCCTCCTAACGTATCGGTAATTTGAAAAAATCAAAAGTCAAGCCGATAGACACAGGACACAGGACATAATTTACATGGTTTTATCATATACACAGTGCAATGATGAACTTGAACTGCGACCTTAAGTGGATATGCCTCGCTCACTCCCATATGAAGCTCGGCGTGTATCATTGACGGCGCGTGTTTTCGGCGGGCTTTACACTGAAAATTAAAGGGATCGTATCAAAAGAAGTTTTCATATTATTATATCCCAATGAGATATATATGCAAAGACCATCGTTATTAAGGAGAGAACAATACGTCCCCGTTATGTCAAAAGAAATGAAACAGGTATGTGTATGGTACGTATGGTGTCAAAGTATACATAAAAGGGTTGATTGCACATTTAGAATTTTTATACCATCCCGTTGTTAAAACAACCGACTCGGCCCTGAATAGACACCAACACGTAAACAGCTAGAGAAGCTTGACTTAAGCGCAGTATCTTTAGGCAATCTGAACGCGATCTGCTTATTTCCGGTGAAAATATGCCTCTGAGGTGCCACGTTGACCGTCACGTGATGTAAACATCCTAGCGTGCAGACGACAGTAATAAATGACTTGCAAGAGCTAGGAAACTGCATCTTACGTGGCTAAAGAGCCCGTTTGCCAAATATATGGGACTCATCTTACGTTCACGATAGTTTTTTTAGTTACATATATTTACGCTTTTCAGGCCCGGTCAGGTAAAGGAGGCCAAATTTTGGGGCATCATTTTCGATTACCATTTGACCTTTTTACAACACATTAAATATTTGAAAAACAAATGCCTGAAGGACCTTGACCTTCTAAAAGTCGTTTAAAGTTCGAAATGGGGAGGGGATCAGAAAACCCTCCTCCAACTGTACAGGGCACTTAGCCGCTCTAAACAGCATTATGGCTCCATCATCTATGGTGGAGCCTGTAAAAGTAATTTAAAAGTATTAGATAGTATTCATCATCAAGGCCTGAGGCTCACGTCGCATTAAATAATCTTTACAGTATATTTCTAAACTGCATTCTAGTCATTCCAATCCTCCATCTAAAGAACTCTATAACAATATCTTACTCCACCCCTAGGAATCTATATTTACAGATGGATGCAAGGATGGTGCCGCAGTTGCCAGCGCCACCGTCATTGGATCCAGGACTATATCATCAAGACTACCAGATAACTGTTCCATTTTTACAGCTGAACCCCATGCCATTCTAACAAGCTAAGCATAAGCAATTTATATTATTTTCGGACTCTCGTGTCTTCAGGCTATTAAACATATATCTACACGCATCCACTTTTAATTGAAATTATTGAATTATACAATGATCTTGCTACTGGCCAATACGACATCGTCTTTTGTTGGTTACCAAGCCATGTTGGAATCATTGGTAACACAAAGGCCGATGCTGCTGCTAAAACAGCAATCAACAAATCTGTGACACTTCTTACGCCATACACTGTTTACAAGCCCGTGATTAGATCATATATCTGCGATCTGATGCAAAAGAAGTCGGACACCCATGTAGGTATCAATAAATTAAATGAAATTAAACCAAATCTTGGCTACACCTACTTGGGTTGTCAGTCCAGATTTGAAGAGGTCATTTTACGACAATGTCGTATTGGCCATAGTAGATACACACATGAATATATGTTGAAAGGTGAGGATCCTCCGTTTTTTATTACCCACGTGGTGAAGATACAGGTGGTAAGATACTAAATCCGTACGTCACACGTGTGTCGTACAAGGTTGACCTTGTTTTATTGTTTTGATTGGATAACCGTGACCTCTGTCACACCGGGACTACTTTTTTCATTCATAAAAATCGCGAGACGTCATTCCTTTTGCGTCCACAAGGTAGAACTTAAGAAATTAATGAGAACGAGAGATATTTACAAACACTTTATTAAACCAAACAAAATAGTCACAGGCATCAAATTCAGTTTGCATTCTATATAAGTTATGCATACAGCTTCTACAAACATTATATAATCGAGCGATATCCATTTACAATGTACGACTACCGATCAATAGAGCGAGGGCCCGGTTGTCTTTTCTTATTCCGGTGGTGACCTTGCCCTTCGATCGTTCGAAGCTGTCACTGATATGCAAGCAGACTTGAGTTTGTTGATTTTCACGTCTTCAGTATAGGGTGGTACAGTTAACATGAATGTCTTTGGCGAACACTCTGATTTCCCTCTTCCAAAATGGTACGATGGTATAAATTCTGCTGATAGATCAAGGAAACCGAACTATATTGATTGCACAGACGGGACAACGGCAGTGCGAGTGACCGACTGTTAGTCCAAAGCGCGGCGCTAATGTGACTTTTCAAATTTTCATAAAGGTGTCCTTCGTACTAACATGGCGCTTGAATTACCTTAAGTTGAAGAATTTCGTCCATAAGGATCTTGAGCGTCGGTGCTGTTTTGTTGGCAAACATAACTGCAGGGGCATGTTGTTTATGCGTATGCATAGACATGTCAACAATGCCCATATTTGGGCATATATCAATATTCATGCGCAACCTCGCTTTCGCTCGGTCAGATACCATAGAAAGTCCACTCGTTTCGTAAAAATGGTATCTAACGAGAATGAGTGTAGTATTCTCTATGTATCCCTTGTGATGAGAGAATCACGGTCACGCATGTCCTGCTTGACTTATTGATTTTGCTATCACAAGGGATAAATATTTTAAATCATCATCTCTCAAGGATCTTTTTAGTAATATTAATTCTCATTTAATTATTGGGTTTTTAAAGAAATATAATTTTACAATAAATTTTAATCATATTTTGTATAAAATAAAAAAATTAAACTGATGGAGGGATTTAATATCTGAGTTTGTTCCTGGCTGTATCCTCGAAGGGGGTTGACGTAGTGTTAAATTATTGTCCTCCGGAGAGTAATAGGTATTAGTCTTTCTCCACATAGGAACCACCAAGAGTTACACATTTCTCCCATCGTTTTATGCAACTATGGAGACCTCGCTTGTGAAAGCCCTCATTTTGCGTCTCAAACCAGGACTTGACTTCAGAAATCAGTGTTTCATCATCTGTGAAACGTTTTCCCTTCAAAAATGACTTCATGGTTGGAAAGAGGTGGAAGTCAGATGTTGCAAGGTCAGGAGAGTAATGAGGATGTGGAAGGATTTCATTGCCACAGGACCGCGCTTCTGTCTGGGCAACATGAGAGTTGTGTACTGGAGCATTGTCTTGCAGGAGACGGACACCCTTGGTCAGCATGCCACGCCTTTTAAGCTTGATAGCGTCCCGCAATTTCCGCAGCAGTGAAGCATTATAAGCATCATAGTGATGGACCCATGTTTCATCCTGTGTAATAAGTCTGTCAAACAAGTTTGCCTGGGTTTTTTGGCACATGTCCAAAGATCCTTTGAGCAATTGACTCGTTCCTGCTTTTGGAAAGGTGTGAGCAACCTGGGAATCCATCGTGCAGACACCTTATGCATGTTCAAATTGTCATGGATGATTTTTTCTACAGACCCTACACTGATCTTGACATCTTGTGCTAACTGGCGAACAGTTTTACGTCGGTCAGCCAAAATGGCGGACTTGATGGATAGTGTCCTCATCAATGGCTGAATGGGGGCGACCAGGAATGGCAGCTGTTTCCACAGATGTCCGACCACACTTGAACTGGCGATGCCAGTGTTTAACAACGGCATCTTCCCCATAAGTTGCTTTCATTTCATCGAAAGTTTCTTTTGGTGTCCGACCTTTCAAATATAAAAACCTAATCACGTCTCAGTATTCTACTGGCTCCATTGTCTAACCCTACTCGATCATAACACCTGTAAAAGTGGTAAGATTAATAGT